TGTGAATTTAGGTCTGCTTTCTGACAATGACCAATTAGACATCTTGACATAACAATACATTTCTGTTGTGCTATGGTATTCATGTGAAGTTTAATCACCGTTGTCAATGTGCTATTCCAGTAAATAATATTTTCACGTTAAGTTATTTTACAGTTCATACAGCAATATCTTAAGGTACTGATTATTTAGACTGTGTTTATTGTAGAGGAAAGCAATGACATTGAAAATATTGTATAAATACCAAATACATTAAACAGCAAAATTCCCACCTTGCATTATGAATTGAAATGACATTATTTTAAAACATTTGAAAATCATCATCATAATTATGTTATCAACATAGAGACAGATTACCTATTATTTTAATACAATTAATTTGAGCTCGGTGCATTTATGTTGCTGTGTATGTGGTTATCCATCAATACAATTATGAAATGCTAAAAATTGGGGCGTTTAATCTTTATTTTAATTGGCTAGGTTTTGTCTTGAAATCCACTTTCATTTGCCTTCAACATCTAAAATCTTTAATTACACTTATGGGGGTTTTTTGTCTGTCCCCTAGGCCACATTCCAATTTCACTTGGGATGTTTTCACACCAGGGCCTTCAAGGACAGAAAAGCTTTCCTTCTTCAGCGGCCACACGCTTATAATCAAGTCTATGTTCTTTTCTTGCAATACTGTTGGGGATTTTTCACATCTTATTGCTATGTTCTATTCATTTATACCTCTAGGTTTGGGTTTTTTTCTTTTAAACCTGTCCTCCTCCATCTGTTGTGAAAGGCAAATGAAACAATGGTGTAATACTTTAAAAGGCTTTATTAATATAATACATATATAATATTTTAAAGGACAGGAGAGCAGGGTTTGCTCTGTCTAGCCCAACTGGTAACTCTCTTCCCAGTACTTCAATAGGGTTGGGTTTAGTGTTTGTTTTCTTTTTTCTCTCAGCTTGCAAGGTAGGATATGTTGCCCCTGTGATACCTGTGAAGACAGGGGGGCTGAGGGAAGGGGTGGAAGCTCTGTATGTAGGTAAAAGTCTACATGTTCCTTGTCGTACATAAATGTCTGTCTCCAGGAAAGCACTGAGGCCACAGCTGTCCAACACATTGCCCGGGAATGCCTGTCTCTGAGGCTCTGATGAGGCCTGACTTTTCATGCCTCTGATTTTTCTCTCTCTCTCGTGATTGACATTTGTCTTTTCTGGGCCTTGTTTGCTTGCATTGCATTTGTAAGGACCCCGAAGCACTGCAGTATTTTCATTTCAGTCAGGTTAAGGGTGACGAAGATTACACATGCATACTGATTTATGCCTTAAAGGCTGGAAACAGTGTCAAGTGTGATCTCAGCAGAGCTCTGCTCGATGACTCAAGTGCTCAGTACGGTGTTACACTCTCAGACATCAATCCTCATCCAGTAAAATGAAAACTGTCCAGAGCATTGTTCAATAAAGTCCTGATCTGTAAGTGTTATTAGTTATTAATAAGGTAATAATGGGGTCTTCAGTGTTCACACCGAAGCCAGAATAAGCCAGAATCAAGCCATCATCAGGCTAAGTACTGTTGAAACACAAAGCAGCAAGCGGTGCCAGCTGCAAAGAGCTTTCCCTGTAAATGTGCACTTGATAACCAGTATCTCTGCAAGCTACGTTATGCACATACTTCTGTGCTTCAGAGAACATTTTGCTATGAAGGTCTTACGCAAAGAGGCGATATGACTGTCAGATCCATGGTTTTAAAGGCAGGTCCTTATGTTTGGAAGTGCTGTATGTCAGGAGTTCTTCTAAACTGCAGTGGATATAAAGCTGGCTGTTATCCTAAAGACATGAGGTGGGGGTTTTCAAATATTTCAAGCTCTGCATTACACTGAAACCAGTGCCTGTTGACTGTTTTTAGTTCTTCTGTGAAAGCAGAAATACATGTGAAACAAAAACCAACCCAGAGAAAGTGATGTGACAGCACACATTCCCTTAAGATATAAAAGGCCAAGGACTTGAACCACAGGCACCTGCAGTGAGAGTTCCTGCTTCTTCTTGTGCAGGTGCCTTTCTCTGTGGTTTTAACATGTAGCTGCCTGGATCTGAAAATTCTTTCCCAGCAGAGACATTTTTAAAATCCATGTCCTATGAAAAGTATTAATTTGGCCTCAACTCCTCCTTCCTTCAATGAAAAAAGCCTGAAAATTCCCAGCTGAGTTGTATTTGCAGCATGCTGGGAAATACCAGAGAAGAACAACCCAAGAGCAGTTCAAGACTGAGCACTTTCCTTCCAATTGCCCTCAGTCCTTGCCAGCACAGGGAACCAAGCAGTATGGTTTGCTACTGACCAAGTGATTTTTGCAAGGCAGCTGGAACGAATGATGGAAGGGGTGGAGCAAATTCCTCTTTCAGATGCCAGTTGCAGCCACAGAGTTCACTCTGAATCTTTTCCTGAAAGTTAATTTAACATTTCTCATTAATAATGTCCAATTGAGTAATGCAGCGTTTCTAAAAGAGATAGTAACATACCAGACACAAAACCATTCATATCTGACTCAGTAATGCAACCTCAGACCACCCCTGTATCAATTAAATATTGTTACCCTGACACCCAGACTTGAAGGAGCAAGCACACCAGCGAGCACAGCTGCAATGCTCTTCCCCTACTGTATTTGTTCTGGCAGTCAAAAGACAGCACAGAGCCTGCCTAAGTGTCATTACAGGCCCTTGGATAAGTGAAAATTCACTTTTTAACACAACACAATGCCTATTATTTTCTAATGAAGTCAAACAGGTTTGTAGCCTAATTAAAAAGCATTAAACTGTACTCCAAAGTACACCTGTGACTGCAACTATAACCGGTGGATAGACAGGCAGGCACTCTGTCAGCCTTGGAAATGGGTCATAGTGTTCTGGAAAAAAAAAAAAAACAGCAAAATGACTTAAAAGACAGCTTTCAATTCTACAGCTCTATCTATACCGTGGAAAAATAGATTCAGGTTGATTATTTTTACCCTAAGATTTAATTTCTTTTGGATATATTCCCAAAACAGTCTCATCAGCACTAACTGTATTCTTACTTCTGTGCTCTACTTTATAGGTACTGGCTGTGTAGCTATGCTAACATAAAACCATCTGTATTTCCAGAAATCAATGCAAACTCCTTATATTTTATTAGAGATTTTGGATATATTTTGAAACTCCTAATGTTCCACATTTAATACCCATTGTGTGCAGTTTATTTAGCTTCCTTCTTCATTAGTTTTCAATGCATTAATCAAATTCTTAATCTAAAATTGGACTAAAATACACCTGAGGTCTTGGAGTGAGATAAATGTGATTCTTACGGCCAGCACTACAATGTGCTGTCTAACACAGTCAGTAGGTTTCAGAGGCCGGAATGAGAATTATCACCTTTTGTGTCGTATCTTGGTCCCCTAACAATCCCATGGCTGTGCTATATTGTTTTGGCAAAATGGGTCAACGGAAATGTTAAGCAGACACCAGTTTCCCAGGAGAACAGAACTTCAAGTGTAATATGAACTGGCATCTGAAGTCCTGGGTATGTTTACCGCATGCACAAGCTTGTTCTGCATTTATTAATGAATACACAGTCAAACCTACACAGCTGTAATACCATGTAGGACCAAAATCCAATTCAAAAGGACAAAGCAGAATTAATAGTTTGTTTTCCAATTCACATTACATCCACATTGTATGATCTTCAGTTACCCATCTTAGTCCATTTTCTTCCCTCTGCAGCCACTTTAACCCTGTGTCACCAGGGTAGAATTTTCCTTCCCACTACTCTGCACTTCTCAGAACACAGAATATCAAGGCCTAATGCAAGTTTGAAGGTAGTAGGAGCCTGAACTGGATGCAAAATGCATGTAGATAAAATGCCTGTCAGACTTCAGCTGCCAAACACTGAGTCTTTACTGATCCCATGCAAATGGAGCTTTCTGCATCTTACAGCTTGGTGAAATTCAAGTAGCAAAAGACATCTACCCAAACTAAACGGCATCTGACCTCCAAATTTCCATTTTCTACGCAGTGTACGTATAATGCTGGGCATCCTTCTTGAATCACTGCATTTTTAATACAGGGGAAAGCAGCATGCTTTTCAGTGAGCTGGCACTCAGTGAGCCGGTTTGGTGCTGCAAAGCACTAAATGCGCTTGGCACACAATGGGCCAATCCCCCCTGAAAACGCGTGTCATCATATAGGAGTCTCGTCCAACCTCAAGCATGAGGAACACTATGTGCCTGTACTGCACACCACAGCCTAGATCCAGAAACCCAAACAACAGAGAGGCCTTCAATAACTTCAGTGGGTTTCAGTTTCTTATTTGGCACTGTAAGTTAAATTATCTTCAACATTTGGGGTGAGCATGACTGAAGGAAAGGTTGAGGGCTTGTGGAAGACAAATGGCCTGTTAAGATGAGAGTTCTTCAATATGAAGACTGGCAAAAAGAGATGGAATACCGAAGTGGCTTTCTGGCAGTCTTGTCTGTGCAACCACTTGGGTTCTCTGCAGTTATTAGCGTTGCAGTAGCAGTAAACATGATTTTGCATTAAGGCCAGTCCTGCGACACAAAAAGCCAGAACTTAAGGCTGGTTTTCACTGCTTCTACTGCCCTACAACAATCTCAGTGCCAGCCCTAACTCGTTACCAAACTCCCATAAGCACATTAAAGCTCTAATGTAAGAGGAAGGCCTCTGCGGGAAGCAGTGCTGTCAGCCCTGCTACCACAGCCATTGTGGAGCAGCATGCCCACGCCACCTGCTTCACATGAAGGCACACACGGGACATTTCGCCTCCTACGGAACACGCAGGCTTAGCGTTGGCTGACGTAAAATTTAATAATGGTAGTGTGACTTCTTAGGAATGCTCCTGTACGGAGCGGGTGGCAGAAACGGGAGGCAGCTTCAGCCGCCCTAAAGCCAGGAAGGGGGACAGCAGCTCCAGCCCTCAGCCCTGCACTAAGTGAGAGCAGCGCGGCGTCGCCACTCCACTGAGCATGCTCGACTCCTCCACATCCGCCTTGCTCCGCCGCCGTGAGGCGCTGGGGGAGCGGCTCCCCGCCGGTAATAAGCCTCTTGCAGGAGCCGGGGTGCAGGACTTGCTGCCGCCATGAACCCCGGCGCCGGCGGGGGGGCGGCGCCGGCCTTCCCTGGCCCCGTGCAGTGTAAGTGCCGCTGCGCGCCCGCGAGGTATGCGCGCTCCGGGGCTCACACGGCGGAAACCGAGTTGAGCCGGGGCCTAGGGAGGCCCCGAAACATGAGTAGAGCATGAAACGGGCGGGAGCGGAGCCCGGGAACCTGGCTGCGGGGGGGGGAACCCGGGAATCTGGGTGAGCGCCGCGGCCGCAGCGGCGGCGAGGGCTGGCGGGGTGCCGGGCTATCGGCTCTGGCGAGCTCTGTGAAGAGACGCCGCGGCCGCTGGGCGAGTGCCCTCTGTGTGGGGCGGCGTGGGCCTCCGCGGGACGCTGAGGCCTTGGGGGAAACGTGTCCGGTGGCACGGGCTGCCCGTTCTTCTGACAGGCCCACTCTGAGGGTCCCGCAGCGCCCAATGGGCCCCTGCAGGCCTAAACAGGGTCAAACCACCCTGGGACCGAAGGGGCTCCCCCGCGGCCTGGGCGCTTGGTCAGTGGATGTCTGTGTGTCAGTTTGAGTGGTTTAATGCGTTCCCGGTTCCTTTGGACAAGCTCCTGACCATGCTTTTGCTCCCACAGTTCCTGGTGGCACCACTGTGCTGGTGGAGCTCACCCCTGACATCCACATCTGTGGCATCTGCAAACAGCAGTTCAATAATCTCGATGCCTTCGTTGGGCATAAGCAAAGTGGTTGTCAGCTCACTAGTGCGGCGGCCGGGGCCACTAGCACGGTCCAGTTTGTGTCAGAAGAAACAGTGCCATCAACACAGGCACAGACCACAACCAGGACAATCGCTTCGGAGACCCAAACCATAACAGGTACCATGGTGTTACAGACCAGCAGCTTGAAAACACTCAACTCATGCAAAGTGGCAGCATTATACAGCCCTCTGCTTGCATGCCCCTGTCACACTGAGCTAAAATCACAGTTTCACCATTAGTCATATCTGCAGGCAAAAGAAGAATAATAAGTGGTGTGCTGCCATCTTGGTTTGGTATGAAAACAGTTTCTTAATTTGCTAATTGAGATACAAGTTTACTTGCTTAGAGAATTGGTTAAATCTGATGTGGTGCATAACCAAATTGTGCAAAATAATTAAAAGTGTCAGTACTTCTTAAATATAATCAAATTACTATGCATTGTATTTTTTTAAGAGTGCTCTTGATGAAAAACAGACACAGGATTGCTGTCAGGCACCAATCCAGGCCTTTTTATGTGAGAACACTGCATTCCCTAGCATTGCTCCCACAACTAATTGGCAGGAAAAATATTACTCAAAATTTCTGCCTATGTGAAGGCTCAAGTGAGGTCCTGATCCTGGAGACATTTAACTAAAACTAGAATTTTGTTCCATGTCTGAAGGTTTGCCCTTCTATATATAGTTTTATTTTATTTTATTTTTGTCTGGAACCTTACTAAAATCCAAATTATTTGAGTTTAATTTGGATAGACAGATTAGGCAGAGAATCTGGAAGAGCAGTGAAACAGACTGAATTCAGGGCTCACTTCCAGGAATATTTATATTATAATCCCTGAAACTCGGTGTGGGTTTTGGATGAGTCATTTTTCTGCTTCATATTTACTCATCTTTAAAACAAGGGCAGTTATATCCCTGTGCCCTTTTGGGGTATAGCGTTGTCTAATTGATTTAAAAGCTGCTACTTTGGCTGAGTTTGTTTCATCTGTTATTCTTGTGGGTAACAGCTAAAAACGGTATAGTTGAAAAACACTGAACTTTCTTAACAGCTTAAAAAGAAAGAATTTGTTTACATGATGCCTCTTTGACAACGTTTGCCATATAAGTAATTTAAGATTTCTTCCCTTTGGGCTGTAGCATAGCCAGTGTTAAAGACAAACATACCTTTATTAATGTGAGACCTGGACAAGCATCAGAAAAATAACGAACTGCTGAAGAAACAACAGTGCAGTCAGATAGGATTCGGGGGGACAAGTGGGCCTATGTACGCTTGTACTAACTTCAGCATGGCTCATCTTGACAGAATTTTCACTGATTGCAGGATAGCAAAGGAGAGAAAAGACATTTTCCTTTCCCCTTCACCCAGGTGAATAGGAAGCCAGGAACAGGAATTTTGCTGGGAAAAAAAAACAGAGTAGATAAGTAATTAATGAAATTATAAAATAATTAGGTTTTTCTGGTTGGAGAAGTTAATGTTCTCAAATTGAGCTGTTTTATGTGTTTAGTTTCTGCACCAGAGTTTGTTTTTGAGCATGGCTATCAAACGTACCTGCCTAGTGAGAGCAGTGAGCCTCCAACTGCTGCTATTGTCACTACGCCACCAAAACCACGATCAAAAAAATCCACTTCCTCACATACACAGAAGAAATTAAACTGCTGCTATCCAGGTAAGATGTGAACTATACTTTCTTCATCTTCATTTTAAAATTGATAGGTTTTGATAGTTGTTACACACAGTAGCTCTGTCTTACGCAGTTACAATGTGCAGAGCCTGGAAGGCAACTTACAAAGGGTGTGATGTACCATTGGTACCAGTAGTAGTTTTGTTATTGATTTTACATATTGTTAGACTTCAGTCCTGTACTCTGGCAATGCTGCAGGGAGTTTGCTGCAGACATTGGTCTATGTCTACGTCATAGCAATGTAACAGCAGAGTCTTGCTATCTTTTCACTAACTGCCATTGTTGTACATGAGAAATATTACACATGCATTTCACATTATATGTTTTGTCTTTGGTCAGTTATCATTTTTATAAAGACAAATTGCACTGATGTATTTGAGACCTTCATGAGTAAAAACCATTCAATATGCAGAAAATATGGGTAGAGGTAGCCATAAAGTGAGTAGTCCTGTTAATGGTAGCAGAAGTTACAGCTTCCTTTTACAAGTTTGCCTTCATTTGAAAGGCACATTTCAAATGCATAGCATTCATTTCTGTACTCTGGAAATGTAGTACTTTCTTTCCACTTAGGCAGAATTCCTGAATGGTGAGCTGTTACCAGAGTTCCCAGTTGCACTAACTTGAAGTTGTACGTGGAATTAATTAGTTCCCCCAGCATCCCCTGTGTACTGTAAAGAGCATCTCAAATCCTAGGCAGAGATTCCAGAGAATTTGTTTCAAAGCTTACAGAAAATGGTAATGTAGAGAGTGAATTCCCTCCTAAGGGAAGCATTAGAAAACTGAAGCTCACAGATAAGCTGGTCACTATTTTAAGTAGATGTGAGTAAACAAGACAGGGAATTCATTTTCTGTTAATACTGAATTTATAATCATAATACTGAGAATATGATAGAATATTTTTATTATTTTGTTACATTTTCCTTGAATTTCATGATCTTCATCTTACTGTTGTCAGGTTGCCAGTTCAAGACTTCCTATGGTATGAAGGATATGGAACGTCATCTACGAACACACACAGGTTTATATAGTTGCTGTATTTTATTTTTTATTAGACTTTTTGCCAAAAGCTGTTTTCCCACAAAATAAAGTCTCTGTAGATAGGATGCATATGTATGTCAGTACCTGTATTGTAGTTCTGTGTGCCTGCGGAATTGCCCTTTGTGGGTAAGACATACCCCATTATGGGCAGTACCACTCATGAACACTGCACTGATCTAAGGCACAGTTAAATTTCTGAGGTGCAGGCCATGTGTTTATCAGGGTGCAGTGTGGTGTTAATGCATAAACCTAGTTTCTTCTTAACGTGGAGCAGTGACTCCAACATTTTACCTCCCTTCCCCCTAAACTGCAATTTCATAGTTGTAAGGGAGAAAGTTCCAAAGGGTCTTCTAAATATGTTGCACTTGTGCATGCAGCCTTCTAGAGCGTAGAGGAGTTCTTGGCTAATAGGATGGCTGCTGAAACCCAATGTCTAGCTTTTAAAAACTAGTCCAGTTCTGTTAAGTGTTCAGTGTGTGCTTTTTTTTTTTTTACTGCAACAACATCCTTATGGTGCAAAAATTCATGATGTGTTGATACTCTTCTGTTTGCTTCAGGAGACAAGCCCCATAAATGTGACGTTTGTAATAAGTGTTTCAGTCGTAAAGATAAGCTGAAGATGCACATGCGTTCTCATACTGGGCTGAAGCCTTACAAATGTAAACACTGTGACTATGCAGCCACTGACAGCAGCAGCCTCAACAAGCACCAGCGCATTCACTCCAATGAGCGTCCTTTTAAATGCCAGATCTGTCCGTATGCAAGCCGCAACTCCAGCCAGCTAACTGTACATCTCAGATCCCACACAGGTAAGTTTATACGAAAATTCAGATCTGCAAAGGTTTGAAGGTCGTAGGAAAGACCTTTTTTAAAAGGTATACAGGTGTCAAGATTGCAGAAAGGGCCTGTTTGAATTCTTGGAAGCACTTAGGCATCCAACTTCTGTGAATTTCTTGGGTATAGAATCTAGTAGGGCAGTACATATATACTAAAAATACCTGGAAACAATCAAAAGACAGATCTGATTCTTGGTAGATTTTCTTCTAAATTGATTTTGAAACTGTCAGATGCTCTCAAACCAGTAGAACTGTAGGATCTACTTGATGGATTGATTGATTGATTAATTAAGAGATAAGACAACCTAGGTTCCTATATGCATCTCTCAAATCAGGTCCACTATATTCGAAACACTAAAATTACCTTCTAATTAGTTATATCAGTGTAAACCTCAGCTGCATACTTTAGTTTTTCTTGCATCAGTAAATTATAAAGTAATTGGCAACTTAAGTTACATCATTTTTTGACCTTTGTTTGTGGTACCTGCCATTTGTAGACTGATGGACATTAACAATATCATATGAACAGCCTGAACTATGTTCTGCCCATTTAATTTTTGCTCTGTGGCTAGGTAGCTTTAGCCTTCAGCCCTATAAACATTGCATCATTTTATATTTGCATTGTTTGCCTTAAGTTTCATTTTAATCAGATTTCCCTTTTATGGATTGTTCCTATAAGAGGTTTTTTGTAAAGATACTGCTTTATAGTTGTCTTTGTATGTTGTTTTTCACCTAATCCAGGGTACCAAATTAGATTTTGTTTTGTCTGTGATACATTTGATTAGTTTGGTGAATTTTAGCTGCAAGGTGACTATGGTTCAGTGATTACTAGATTAGCTTTGAACCTATCCTACATCTGATTCCAAATTCAAGTACTAAACAACATTAGTTCAGATGTGTGCAAGATGGGATTTATTTTGAGTAAATAAAAGAAAGAAATCCCTTGTGCATTGTGAAGGAGGGCAAGGTTAAACCAATCTGTCTCTAGCAGAAAAGAGTATTTTGTACTTCACAAGTCTGCTGTGATGGAATAGGTAGGACTGTCAGGCAGTTATTTTACAGGTTTCCCTCTTTCTATTGCTCTGTAAGAAGATGCGATGGTCCGTCAAGATGGTATGCACACTAGTCAGAGAATATGGTAATGCATTTACCCCATGTCATATAAGAGCATGCACGCTTGTAGATTTGTGTACATGGCCCAGTATGCTTTGAATTTGGCTGTGGGAGAACCTGTGAATGATCATGATTCTTTTGTATTTCCAGCAGAGTTAGATTTTTGTGGCATTAAATATTGCAATAGTTGAGAAGCAGTTTAGGCTACCTTCTTTCTTTTTGGCAGATCAGTCTCTTGTATCATAAGCAATTGAATTGTGCTAAAATTCAAGCCTGTCTCTTCCATTTCTGCAGAATAAATCCTTTTTCCATAAAAGGACTTTTGATTCCCTGAAAAATGGCACAGGAATTTTGAAACTAATCGTTTCATCCTTGTTAGGTTACAAAACTGTTACGCACACAGACAGTTTTAGGAGAAAAGTGAGACTGGTATGTAGAATATATTGCTGGCTGGAATTAAAATTAGTCATACTCTAGAAGGTTGAGTGTAGTCTACATTGCACAGAGTGAGATCATCTACATAGCATTACTTGTTGAAGTACTCATCTAAAGATTAGTTTCCTGTTAGCCTGAGTAAAACCACTGTTACAACCAATAATTCCAGGATCACTCTTCTTTTTTAATTTCTGTTCTGTCAGTGTCAATTATGTATGGGCAGAAATGTAAAGAAATAAATGTAAAGTTATAGACCACTCTTAAAATAAATGGAACCAACACACTTTGCTATATTCAGTAAAATTACTAATTCCTTTTCATATATTGTGCTACCCTGTATGAGAATTAAGTCACTGAAATACATACTGTGCCTTCATCAGCAAAGTACATAAAAAGTCAGTAGCTGAGTGTGCAGTGGAGATTGTAAAATAAATGAGATGAACAAACAGTGTATCTTCATTAATAAAATCTGTTTAGTATAGATAATACACCATGCATCTCAATTATTAAACAGATACATGGATTAGCACAGTAGGCCACAACTTGATTTGAAAAATATGTGGCTAAACCAATGACATATGTAGCTGGATAAGCAAATTATGCAAAATTATACAGCTATCACAAACTCTATAAAATATTAACTTGTAAAATAAATCAGGCATTTGCAGTTTGATTATTAAAGAAGATAAATGCTTGCTGAAGTAAGTACACTCTCATTTTCCTCTCTTACCAAGGGTGTCTTAGAACCTAATAACACAGTTCTTTGACTTTTTGAAAATAGTATCTAGTTAAAGATTTCGTGCTCAGGTATTTTAGAGAACTACGTATTCAGGTTAAAGGAGAAAACCGAACAGTTATTTAGTTGGGTAGGTAGGTTTGCTTTGGATTGTTTTCAGTGACTTCAGAACAGAGTTACCAGGTCTTTATTCTGGGAATTTATAATGGACTAAACAGAGCTACAGCTTCATTTGCTCCTGCGTGTTGTTACACAAGCTTGCAAATAGAAAAAATGCAAAATAGTGTCTTAGTGGTTGTTCGTGTAGGTAGTCTGACATCAATAGACTTACAGAGCTCTTGCAGATGAGTGTGTTCATTTTTCGTGTTTTATCGATTAAGAATTTGACCTAACTTTCAACTACCATTGTTTGGTTTCTGAATCAGCATTGCTCTCAGGGGAAAAAAAAAAGAAAAAAAAGGCACTTGTGACTATTTTGTATACTTGTTTGCATGAATCCAGACTGATAGTAGATTTTCTTGAAGTGATCTGCAGAATGTTATTAGGTATGATACATAGTGCAAATATCACTTTCTTCATTGCTGTAGTGCCAGAAAAACAAAAGCTTAATGTTACTTCTCTGTGTGCACATTTCCCTAGAGTCATGTATTTGCATGCATGTTTCATTAGTCTCGCATTTGTCTTTGCCAGTTGCATTTATGTAGTTGCTCTGGTCCCCTTTTTTGTTGGGTTGTTTTTTCCTTCTTTTATTTTTGTAGTAATGCTCTGGTGGTGCAGTGTGCTGACACTGACCTAGGTATGGACTTTGTCCCCACATCTCCCTATGTCCTGACAAGAGTTTCCAGTGCCTTCCTGCGCCAGCAGTAGTATTTGTGTTGCACTGCAAGAACCAGGCTAAAAAAAAAAAAAAAAAAAAAAAAAATTTTTTCTTGTCAGGTAATTTAACTCACCATGTGAACAAATGTACAAGAAAGGCAGTCAGGAATATATGGCTGATATGTAAGCCTGGTGCCCGTTAAGCATCTGTTTCTGCAGTAGCCTACCATTTACCTAAAGTTAACCTACAAGCCTCCCTGTAGATCCTGGGTTAAATCCAAGACATGGACATGTTTATGTTGTTTTCTTAAACTTCAAAAATGCAGCAGCTGCTACAGTGTTTTTTTACTAATTTTTAACACTAGTTGGGACACACAGTTGCTAAAGAGGGGGAAATGAGAAACTTCGGTCACTTTCTGGAGCGTGCTGAACAGTTTTACACACAGATGCACTAAAAATGGAGAATACATCAAAGGTGCAGACATGAAAAAGCAACAGATGTTGTCAGACATGCTTGTGGAGTGTTTGCACACAAATATGTCAGACAGGGTGATAAATACTGTGTCATTAAAGTTCTCTACAACTTAAAAATTTGTTGGGAGTTTGCAGGTATTTAGAACACATCAGCTGTACATAATTCATTACAGCATTGGTGTCTCCAGTGGATCTTGGTGTCTCATGTGTAATTTGAACTGTGGTTTTTGTTGACAGGAGATGCTCCCTTCCAGTGTCAGATGTGTCCTGCTAAATTTAAAATCAACTCAGACTTGAAGAGGCATATGCGTGTGCATTCTGGTGAGAAACCTTACAAGTGTGAGTTCTGCGATGTCAGGTGTGCCATGAAAGGAAACTTGAAATCACACATTCGTATCAAACACAGCATGGAAAATACTCTCAAGTGTCCAGAGTGTGAATTTCAGTGTGGAAACAAAACAAGCCTTCGGCATCACATAAGAACGCATCAGCCTGAACAACCAGTGAAGTGCTCAGAGTGCAACTACTCTTGCTCCAACAAGGCAGCTCTGAAAGTGCATGAGCGTATTCACTGCAAAGATCGTCCTTTCAAGTGTGAATTCTGCAGCTTTGATACCAAGCAGCGGAGCAACCTGACAACTCATGTTAGGAAAGCTCATGGTGACAAAGTCAAGACCAAGAAGCAAACTGTGGAGAAGAAGGAAGGAGATAGGCCAAAGCAAGGTGGATCCAGGCAAGTTGCCAAATTGGATGCCAAGAAAGCATTTAAGTGTGACTTGTGCGATGCTTCCTTTGTCCGAGAAGATTCTCTTCGGAGTCATAAGAAGCAGCACAATATGTATAATGGATCTAAAAATAATGAACTGGCTGTTCTACAGCTCCAGATGGATCCTAGTCGGCAGACCAGCGCCCCAATTACTGTCAGTCATCTCCAGGTCCCGCTTCAGGCTGCTCAGGTTTCTCCATACAGTGAGGGAAGGGTCAAGATCATTGTGGGACACCAGGTACCTCAGACTAACAGTATCGTCCAGGCTGCATCAGTGAATGTTGTGCCTCCTACGTTAGTTGGCCAGACTCAGGAAGACCTCTCAGCCAACAGTCGCTTGCAGCTTTTGGGCCAAGTCAGTTTGTTGGCACCACCTCCACCTCCTATATCTCAAAGTGAAGCTGGGCCTGTGGCACAACCAACAGTTCTTCTCACAACCCATGACCAAAGCGATGGAAGTGCTTTACATCAAACTCTGATTCCTGCTGCTCCTGTCAACAGTCATGAGGCTTCAGCAAACCAGGCTTTCATCACCAGCTCTGGAATCAGCTGCTCTGACTTAGAAGGCCTTAATGCTTTGATACAAGAAGGAGCAACAGAAGTAACTGTGGTTAGTGATGGAGGCCAGAGTATAACAGTGTCCACTTCAGCTCCCCCTCCTCCTATCTTTTCTTCATCCTCTCACACAGAAGCCCCCAAGCAGACCTATTCTATCATTCAGAGTGGAGCTCACACAGCTTTGCTGTGTCCAGCAGACTCCATACCAGATTAGTCACAAAGTACTATTACTAAACAAATTTAAATCTCAGAGGCAGTGCTGAATTCAGCAGAAATGCGTAAGATAGAAGTGAATGCAGGATTTGTCCTGCGAAGCTAAATACCTTCCACCTACCCATTTTGCTTTCTGTACAGAGAAATATACATCTTGTATGTGAAAAAGAGGATGTGTGTATTTATGTGCCTCTGAAGTCAGAGGCTCTGTTCTTTGTAAAGTCTGAGCAGCGAAGCAACTGGTGAGAATTTCACCAAGCAGAAAGCTGCCTGGAATAATTCTTGTGTTGTGCTGGTTACAGTAACAAAGCCTCTCTCACTTCATTATAAATGATCTTCACAGTGGACTCATTCTTTCATGTACACACCAAAAAATAGTAGTCCAAGCCATTCTGAAGTTTTAAGTGAAGTCTGTTTCAATTACATGCTATGTATGCATTAGGTGTACCTGGCTGATTGTTGATCTGTAACAAATGTCTACTACTGGGTCTAATGCAGCTTCAGAAAAAATTAAGGGATCTGTTCCTTATTATATGTAGAAGTTGCTAGTACCTGGCAGTGAATCAGGAAATGCTAATGCAGAAGACCAGGTGGCCATTTTTAGAAAACAAAAGAATCTTGTCTGTCCATCAGTAACCGCTAACTTTGTTAGTAAGAACACTGTTGAAATCATGTATCTGGCACAGTGATGTCTGTCAGAGGCACCGGTGTTTTCAAGAGCAAAACAACTGCAAATACATTTTTTACAAACACTTCTTAAATTTTGTGCTTATTTTGGTGCTGCCTGTTTGTAGTTGCATGGGTGGTAAAAGCGCATTATGTTTTCGCTCTGCCCTTGTCAAAGAGGAAGAAGAAAAAGTTTGAAAAAGGAAAATATAAATGAAAAAAATAAAAGTTTTGGATCGAAGGTGAGAAACTCTAGCATAAATTCAGATTGAATCACAGTGAGATAGTAATTCATCATTATATGATGCACATTTCTATAATGAATGAAATCTAGGCTGTGTTTTGAACTATGCAATATTACAGTTCTACCTGGAGAGCATTCCTGTAGTGGTAGTTAATGTATCTTCACTGCCAAACTCTCTGGTCTGGAGAACCGACACTCAACTTGAGAAAATAGATGGCTCTGTAAGTGCCTGGATCTGCAAAAACCAGAGATCATTCAACAGCCAGACAGCATCCCAGGGACGGTTGTTAACATGCATGAAGACTGAAAAACTGTTACCAAAACCAGCTCTGAGATTTCCTCTTGGGGAATCAAAGTCAAGATAAATTTCAAAGTGTTTGCTAGTGGGAGACATTGAATGATTGCTTTATGTGCTAGAAAAATGCTTGGAAAGCATATACAGATTATCTAATTAGGGCCACTTTCTGAATAGCCCTCATGTTTGAAATCTTTAGCTTGATCAGACTATTTTGTGTAGGTGGGGTACTCCCCGCTCCTTCCCTCTGTGTGGTACATACTGTTTGTACAGTGTAAGGCTTCCTGCTGTTCAATGAAGAGTAGGAAAATGCAGTTATAATTCTCAAGTATAGTCATACAGGCTGTTCTTGAAAATATGACCTTTGATTTTTGTTGAAATAAGGGTTGTTTATACTTGAATGCTCTAGTTTCGCTGTCATTATTTATGGGAAGTAGTGTTTTTGAAGATTTGTATCTCTTCTGCCTTCCAAATCCTTGATTTTTAATGTTCCTTTTTTTTGGAAGTTGTGTTGGCTTTGGGGTTTTGATTTCGTTTTGTTTTAAAATCTAGGGTTTGATTTGAACTGTCTGACACTGTGCCTCACACTTGCAGATATCAGAAAAGACCACACTCCAGTGAGAGGGAGAAACTTCATAAATGATTAGTTAAAAAAGCATTAATAAAGACTTGTTTCCTAGCCCCATGCTGCATTGAAATATGAAGCAAAAGTTCTGAGTTCACCAACAGTTGTATTTCAGGGTTTATTATTTTCTGCACTTGTTCAACTTTTCTGGTGATACAAGTTTGTCTCCTGTTAATTGTCTCTTCCCTACAGATAGATAGGTTTATTTAAGGAGCTGACAAGACCCAGTTCCAAGTCACTGAGCACACCTGATTTTGTATAAATTAGAAGTGGGAGGTTTTTTTACTACATTAGTTGACTGCAGAACATTAATTGTGAACAATAAATTGAAACTCCAGATAGTCTGACGTTTAACACTGGCATCACTGTTTTGTGGCTCTCCAGCCTCTTTTCATTGTTGTGCCTATAGCACAGACCCAATCATGACATCTCAACTACTTTGAGGCTACTTGTAATGCACTTGGAAGATAAAAGGCATCACAGGTGCCTGATCCTGTTAGATGTGGTCCAGGTTGTAAATGGTCACTGGAGCAGCGTAGATCAAACACTTTGTTATCTTTGAATTAAAATGCATGGCATGGTAGCAATTTTTCACTATTAGCCCATCTCCAAATGTATGTGTACATATGTGTATGATCTAAATCATCAGGCTGCATACAGTGTTCATGTGCACTGGGCCAATAGTTACTGTAAACACCAGTGAAAGATGGGAAACTCAGTCCTGTAACAGTAAATACCCATTTTTCACCCAGCTTACAGTGGTTCTAGACCACCTGGAGCACTCACTCACTACACATAAGTGTACGGTAAACTACAGCCAAGATCAAGCAGATGGGTGAAGTGGACAGTTTCAGCTCTTTTGCTAAATTACAATACTGTGCAACACAAATGGTGATAGCAGTTCAATTCTCAGCTTTCAAAACCTGTGCTAGGTCTTTGCACTGAATTAATTAGTCCACTGGTGGTCTAGGTTTTAATACTTATAATTACATATTCTTTCTTTTTTGTTAGACGAATATAAATCGATCTGGCCTCACATACTTGGTTTGTCACTGTTTTGTCGCAAGTGTGCCTCTGTATCTGCTTGCTTACACACCATTTACCCGGTATTTCTAGCTGGTTGATTTTATGAAGGCTGGTGATCTCAAGGATAATTATGTTCTAGTTTCTACCAGCCACATGTGTAAGAGAGTTTAAGTATCCCTACTGAGGGGCTTGCATGTCAGAGACCTGTAGCTTTCCAAGTGCTTCAGCTGGGCAAGAAAGATAGGAGCTGGTGGATGTGTACTGCTCTAAGAGCTGGTGGCTGTGCATTACCACTAAGGGGTGGTAGTCTTAAGATAAAGTTGGGACGTAGTTAACTGGTTATGCTAGTGGGTGTGGTGAGCAGACTTTCAGTTACAGGAAATTGTACCAAGCCTTCAAAACTTGTAAGTCCAAACGTACTACAATTTGGCAACTGAAAAATGTAAAAAACTCACATTAATTTTCATACAGTCTTTGATATAAATGAACTCTGCATGCAGGGTTTCATGAGCGTGAAGTGTTTTGTGTCATCTATAGGTGGTGCTGGAGATCCAGATAAGCTTTTAACTGTGGTCTCTTTGCTTGGTGATGTTTCCTGTGAAAGAGTTCCCCCCTTTTAATTCTTTACTGGGTAAAAACATTTCAAAATCCATTTTTATAAGACGTTACAAAAAGCTCTGCTGTAAAACCTTACTTAAGGAATAATGGAACAAATAAAAAACCTACCAGGTTTTCTACTCTTAAGATCCCCTGAAGCAGATCTGTGTCCAAAACCAAATCTCACAGTTTCAGTTGCTCTTTTTTTTTACTCCCTGTTAATTAATTTTACTGTATACATACTTCGCAGCTGCAGAATTGTGGTGCACTGCAAGAATGATGCAAAATGAGTGATTTGACAAAGCTGATGGTTTGAACTGCAGTTTTTCTGTGTTTGCACTTGGCCAACAGAGCTGCACCCAGGGGATGCTCCACCAGGTCCAGGAATCTCATGTTCAATCGAATGTTGCACTCAGTGTTACACAGCTCTGTTATCTGCATTTCAGTTTCACAAAAAGGCTTGTTTACCTTTTAAAATAGGAAACCAGTAGATTTCTCATATTGTAAAGACTAACCTTCATTGTGGTCCCCTGTGTGCCTCTAAGATAAACAGGAAAGATAACAAAATGGTGTGAATGAATAGACAAAGCTTAGTGCTGCTTCTTCAACATTGTTCAGCTGATTGCGTTATGTTTAAGTGAACAATCTAGAGACTTCTTTCCTCCACCCTAAAAAAGAAGCTGATAACCAAGACTAACAAGGGGGCAATTGTTTGGGTTGTGTTTTTCAGTTTTCTGATATTCTGGCTTTATTTCTGTGTATGACAGTAATGGTCTTTGTGTTTTAGAGCTGGCAGAAGCACATTGTTTTAATCTGATATTCATTTAATACATTCTTCAAGTTCTCAACAGAACTATCCCTTGAGAGAGCATGGTAATTCATAACAAGTGTCTCTTGCACAGCTTGCTTTCAAGCACAGGGTAAATAAATTGTATACCTTCCTAGAGTCTGCCCTAGCCTCAGTGCTCTGTAGCAAGTTGTCTCTTTCCCAGGCAACATTGAGATGGATTTTGTTCCTTTTGCCTGGGAACCTCCAGGGTAAGCACTGAGCCTCATGATGCATATGGCACACAGGGGGTGAGCAAACCTGGCTGCTTCTCACTTCTGCTCACTGGTTACAAAATGGATGATGTTTACACAGAGTTTTACTGAACTGGCTCTAAGAGACAAATGTAAAACTAAATATTCCATAGTTAGCTTCCTTCAGCACAGGTTTTGTTCTCTGCAGGGTCTCGTGCCTTTCACAAGTTGCTTTTGGGATCCCAATTGTGAGTTTACAGTGTGATACAGTCCTTCCTCTTTTGTGCATGTGAATTCCTGTGACTGCGTAAAGAAATGGGGTTAAACAGAGCAAGACCGTTAGAACACCAAACAAGCAGTGATGCATAGCCTGTATGTAGCTCACATAAAGCAATCCCCTGCTCTTGTATACTTCCAACTGGGTTTGATTTTGTTGTTACTCCTTGACACTGCTTTTTAAAACCAGAATCAAGTATTACATGAGCAGAGACTTACTCTCTGCAAGACCTGCTAGAATGTGCTTTTCCTTCATGTTTTTGTGTGTGTTTTTCCTTCATGTTTTTGTGATGTAGAAGCATGCAGCAGGGAAAGAAAAATCCAAAGTCCAAAGTAAAAATGGTCTTCACTAGCTTTGACTGTTTCGGGGTGGCAGTTATCTGTGTGAGCTCCTGCACTGAACAATAAGCCAGCAGCACTCAGGATTAAGCCCTCTATCAGTGTTGCTAGTTTCTTTTATGTGGGTTTCATAAACACTTTAACTGTCATTTGCATCAAAATGGCAGATTCCTGCTCAAAACTGGCATCAATTTGTCCCGTGCACAGGGGGGGTTACTGGATATGCAGATGCACCAGGAAGCATTCCTGGATGAGTGAATAGGATCAACTCCTCATATGAGGTGAGACCTAAAAGCAGCAGAACTTGGCCCAAAGCTAGCTCCTTTGGGATCTTGGGGAAAACCAAACTTATATTGAATACACATGATTTTTACAATTAAAAGTTGTAATCAGAATATTTCCCAATCATTTTGGCAGAGTTGTTTATTGCTCTTATGCTCTGACTTGCGCTGGAAAGTACCTTCTGTTGTGGGGTTTTAAACTGTTGTTTAGAAATGTTAGAATCATGCCAAGACATTTTTCTCTAGATTGCAAACAACTGGGGAAAGGCTTCTCTTTCAGATATATTTATTCTGTATTTCTGATCCTTTAATTGTGTTTGCATTCGAAATATGGTTGTCCTTTTTCCAGTGTGATGCTCTGGTGGCTGTAGAAATATTTGCTGTGT